TAACTTTCTGATAATCCCTGATAATTTACAATTGTAAGTACCGACAGGAAGAATAAGGCTTGTCTTATATTTTACAGTTTTGACCACGAAAAGCTCCTTGTGAGGCTCAGAGCCCATCTACACAGCACTCCAAGAAGCTGCTACCGATGCATCGGAATTGATTATAAGACATGAATCCCATTTGCTATCTCTGCACCACAATAACTCATTTCGGGGCTTTCAGAGGCTGATATATTTATGGTTTTTCCTTCCTAATTTATTTTTTAATGTGGTATTTCTATAGTGCAATTGAAATTTAATTAATTAAATTAAGTAATTGCCAGAGAAAAATATTTTGAGAGACAACAACATGCAGCCAGGTACACAACCTGTTTGTGTGTGTGTGTGTGTGTGTGTGTGTGTGTGTGTGTATTTGCCTTAAGATTTACCTTGTGCTTTATCAATCCAGCTTTATAAATCTTGGCTTTGAATCAAAAGCTTTTCCCTGCAGTCTGCCCTTCACCTTTCAGTTTACTCAACATCAAAGTACTGCAGGCCATTCATTTCCTGGGGGTCAGCTATTGTTTTTATTTTAGTCACAGATAGCCCATGACTGGGCTGTATAATTTATCACAGGGAAGGCATTAAACTGCCTTTTTAAACTTCATTCTTCTCAGAGATGGGGCCACTTTTCTTTAGATGAGGCAGAAGAAAAATCACTAGTTGGGTTTTTTTCTAGCAAAAGCAGAAGTGTTTCTTCATGAGATTTTTCCCACCCAACTGAAGCCACTTACCGAAACCATTTTTCTAAACTGGAGTTAAATATCTTGATTTTCCATGTAATGATAACATGTATTTGTTTTGTTTTTTTTTCTCAAATGTCAATTGGAAAGTGGTTGCAAACCATTATTAATTGGTAATCAATAAACTTAGTCTCACAGACCGCTACAGTTGAAAAGGGCTTTAGATGTCATCCTGTCTGGGCATGCTAAATATCTTCCTCTATGAAGAGACAGATCATAGCGTTACTTCCTACTGGGATATGGCCTCAGCATTCTACTGAACCCAGAATTCCTGACAGATACTACCAATTGGAGTTGGCATGCATTTGCTCTCCTGGAGAGTTCAGTCCTTCATTTGATAGATAACAAAATTGAACCCAGCAAGACTAAGTGACAGATTCAAGCCTACAGGATGACTAAAAGGACAAGTCAGGACTTGAACCCAGGTAATGATGTACTTTGTTGATTCGAAAACCTAAGGTAATACCTTTGGTGGCTGTACATTGTATTATCACAACCTACTACAGTAAGCTAATTATGTTGCATAACACCATAACTTCCTCAATTATCTCTCATTTTATGATGAACCAGAAATGGACCAGATAAACCAAGTTCATTCTAAAACTTCATGAAGTTACCATAATTACCCTGCACAATTGGAAGAAGCGAATTGACAATCACAATTTCAAGAAAGAAACAAACCTGAAGTTTCTTTTGTTTAAATAAAGAAAAAACTTAAAGTTTAGGAGACATTTCGGCCGTTACAGCCAGAGCCTAGAAGGAAAAACTCTCTGCTAAATGGTCTTTTGAAATCCTAGAAACTGGTGATCCTTCCTCCTGACTTTGCCAAAGAAGAATACACATTTTAAGTCCTAAGGGCACGTTCTGCTCCATTCCAACCACAGAGACATATTTCTGTCTTCAAGCCATGCAGCGCCTTGCCTGTCAGCAGCTAAGGAGGAGCCTCCTTTAAGACGGTAATAGATGATTCTACCAAATTACTCAGAGTACATGTTACTTTAATCTCATGAATGTCCAATTAAAGTTTAATATTTAAGTTGAAAATCATTAGGAATTCAGAACACACTCATTCTGACTTTCTCGTTGTTTCTTAGGAAAAAAGCAACTAAAGTTTATCAGTAAAATTAAGGCTAACGATGATGAACACAAGTTGTCTTAAGGAAGGAAGTCTGAAGACGTTTATCTAAGTATACAAAGGAGTAATGTGAAGGCTTATCCCTTTTTACTTAAATTATTCCAGAGGTTAATTTTAAGTTCCTTTACCCCACCGCAGGAACACAAGAAGGGGCTCCATGTTTAGAGTGCTCTTTATGATTTTCATAACCACTTAATGGGTGTTGAGGTAAAATGATGCCACAAGTGTTGGTCTGAGACATTTAAACTCCTTAAAATCCTATTTACAGAAAAAGCTCCACTCCACTGATAAAATTAAGAATTGGAACATTTAAAAAAAATAAAGTTACATAAAAACATGCAACTGCTAAACTTATTTTACTATATAAGTACTCTTATAATCTTTTGTGCACTCTTGAAATTGTCAAAAAAGAGATGACTGGGGTTCATGGTCAAGAACATCTTAAAGAAAAATTGATAGATCTGTGAGATAGCATTTAAAATGCCCCTGCAATATAATCTACTAGAAACAATTCTTTTCACACAGTTGAGGAAACATACTACTATGCTCTCTGTATCAGGTATTTTGATAATACAGAACTATAATGATAGAATTTATATTGGACAGGGAGACCAGAAAGGGAGACGCAAAAGGATGACTTCAAGAGAAACTGAGGAAATAAGAGAATGTGGTAACCTAAACTGGTTACCTCAGTAGATTAAAGATGGATTGATCATTTCTGTTTGGAGAAGTACAGTTATCACTCAGGTCCCAAGGAGAAAATAAGTCTGAGGTCCAATGAGAGCAGAAAGCTTGAAACAGGAAGAAACAAGAATCTCTTGGAGACTTTAGAGAGTGCTATATGTAAAGGTCTTAGAATAGTGAGTTTCGCTGAAAACAGCACCACAGTAAATGACTGGACTGGGCTTAACAGCTGGTTAGAGAGTACCTTTTTGGCAAATCAAATAGGAAATGGAAGGACATGCTCAAAGAGGACAGTAGTTCTAGGGATCAAAGTAAAAGAGAAGAAACTGAAGAAAAGAGATAGGATAACTGCAATTTAGGCCAATATGACATCAAGTTCAGAGGAAGAATCTTTGGCGATCTTGTGCGGGCACCAGAATCAGGGTAGGTCCCAAGTCTTTGGGGGATGACACAGCAGAAGTACACTGCAGGTGGCAACATTGAGGGCCATCAGATAAGCATGACTGAACAGATTAGAAAACAGGAAGAGCAGGGGCCGGCGCGATGGTTAGGAACTGGCTTGGGACGCCAGAGGGCCCCGGTTCGGATCCCACATATGAGAGCCAGTGACACTGCCCTCCACAGCTAGGATGCTGAACAACAGCTCAACCTGGAGCTGGGCTGCTGTGAGTCGCCGGCGACGGCGTAGGCTGCAGCCCCTGTGGCAGTGGGTGCCATGGGCTACCGTGTGTAGCCAGCAGCCAGCGTGAGCGGCCAGCAGCCGCAGTGAGCAGCCATCCAGAAGCCGGTGACTGATCTGCCTCGCCCGGGAAGAGCGCAATGATGGTGCCAACTTGGGCCAGTGAAGCAACGTCCTCCACAACTAAACTGAAGAACAAAAAGACAGCAACTTGTCTTTCCTTTCTCCCAATTCCCCAGCACTGTTCCCATCCCCCCAATTTCCCAATAAAAATCTTTAAAAAAAAAAAGAAAAGAAAACAGGAAGAGCAGATTTGCCAAGGAAGCTGAAGGACCTCAGCTTGATTAAGGAACCAGCCAGCTAAGGGTCGTAGGGGGTGAATCCCTTAAACAAAACCAGGGAGAATCCCATCAGAAGATCTAAGGGGGGTTTAGGGAAAGGGCTATGAGACGATAGGCTGAGGACTTGGAACAAGCACACCTAATGCTTTTTAAAATAAGTTTTTGTGATCTTTTCATGGGAGTTACTATTACAAAACTCTGTTTTCTTATAGATATTAGCAATGAAGATTCCTTAAAAATGCAAAGGTGTTTGTGGGTCTGTTTCAAAGAGGCTGGGTAAAAGAGATGTTGGGAAACTGTGTCTTACTGTGAGACAGATCTGGGGATAGAAGATTCCAGCTGAGGAATAATTTAGTGCCAGCTGGAATAAAGTTAGTGACCCCAACTTCAGGTATGTATGAAGAAAATTATAAGCCGCAAATCACTCCTGTAAGGTACTCAAGCAATTTTCTCTGGCATTAAGGCCATTTTAGCTCATAAAATTACTATTCTTCTAAAAATATTTTTAAATGGGTGTTTTATAGATATTTCAGTTGCCCCAAAGTTATGGACAGCCGGCTACCATTCTGCTAAGATTCATGACCACATACAGCTAAAATTGTGTGTGTGCATGTGTGGTGGTAATGGTGGGGAGGGAGGTGTAAGAGGGATCATCGAGGCAAATAATCAAAATATACAATATTAAGTGACAGCTCATGACAATTGATATTTTGAAAACAATGAATCTTTTGGTGATTAAGTCAGTCTTGTTCTCCCTGATGAAATGCATTATTTCAAAGGTCCTAGCATATTGCTAAAGGACACATTTATAGATACAAAAGAAAAATTTAGAAGGAACAATAGATCATTCAAGGGTCAAGTTATCTTTCCAATACAAACCGATGCCATCTAATTATTTAATAACAAAACATATCAATATGGCTTTGCAACAAAAGTCATTCAAAAAAGCATCCATGATTAGCCAAAATATTTTCTGACCATTTTTCTAAGGTTATATAAATGCTATTTTCAAATGATTTATGTTAAATGCACTTCTTAATGTTTTCCAATGTTATAAATAAACTGTTATAATAACCACACTGGACAATTTTTATAAGTGGCAAGCCAGTGATTGGATAAGGGGCAACAATACGTTAAAAACATAAGACTTATTTTTAGTTAAAAAAAAAGGCATAACTATAGCAAATGAAAAACACTTGGAAAATAACAGATTAAGAACATAGAAAATCAGAAGTTTTAGAAGATTAGGAAAACAAAATTTAATTTTTTTCAGATTGACTTATTAAAAAAAAAATCCACACATAACTAAAAAAGCAACACTAGAAGCAGACATTTAACTGACTCCCCAAAAGGGATTTAGATTTACAACCTAAACTCACCATCTTTCTTCCCAGCAGCCATTTTTCTGCTGATAATAAAACTGTTGGTCTTCCAGTTAACTGTTCCATTTATGCCACCAGCACAGCTTAATAAAAAAGCTTTTCAGAATAAAACAAATGCACAAAAAAATGACATTAATGTTAAATTAAAATGACTATCATAGATCACCTCCTATTAACTGGGACCAGATTCCTTCCAGCCCAGCTAGCTGTTTAACTCCATTCAATAAATATTTGCTGCACGTCAATAAAAGGAATACACGTATATGGGGATACCAGGGAAATAAGACACAGTTCCTGCCCCTCAAGGAGCTCACAATCTATAGGGATTGATAATTGATGGACAGAAATATATATTATATATATGTGTATGTATATACATATATACATACACATATATATAATAATATTACACATAAATACACAATGATAGAAAGCATAAGTGCTACAAAAACACTGAGTGAGGAAGCAATTATCTCTGGCTAGGAATGTTGTGAAGTTTAAAATATCTTTTAAATTCATAGTTTTGGAAGCATTACACTGGCAGCGAAGAATAGAATCAGGGTTAGGGGAACTAAATAGGATACTCTCTCTGGAGTGTAGAGGAGCAGTCAGCCCCATAAATCAGCAGTTGAAGCAAAAGGAAGTACAGGCGGCGACGGTTACACGCCATCATGGAGACAATGCTTTTCAAATTGCTAGATGTGGGCTAAAAAGAGAATCAAAGATGGCTTTGAATTTTTGACCCAGAATGATAAACTAGTGCTACATTAGGAACCCCCCAAAAGAGGAGTTGGTTTCAAGATAAAAATGATAAACTTAATTTAGAATATGTTAAATATGGGGTACCAGCTGGATATCCAGGTGAAACCGTTTACAAGGAGGATGGAAACAGAGCTCTGGTTCATAGATGAACCTAATGGGCCTTCAGACACAGAGCTGAAGTTCACTCCCAGAGGAATGATTGTTGACGCCAAAGCCCCCAGTGGAATTCCTTAAAGAGATCATGCTCCCAGGTAACACGCATTAGGCCCTCATGTACAATATAAAGTGATCTGGGGAAGATAGACAATCATATTCTTGACCCATTTGTGTATCCTATTTCCCATCAGACAAACCACCAATCTTATTGCTGACTCTCCCATTTTTCATCCTTACCTTTCAGACTTGATATTTGGGCACCATTTTCCTAACTACGACATTGGGTCTCCATCTCATTCTCCTGCCCTCTAGCTACCTAAAGTATATTTCCTCTGGGTTCGGCTCAATCTAAGAATCCCCAAAGGTCTACCCCACAGTTTTATCCTAGCTCCTGGAACTGCAAGATAGCAAAAAAGAATGCACAAAAAGTGGCAGGACAGCAAAGGGAGAAGAACATGTTAATAAATACAATTACACAGCAAAAGCAGAGGATGATACAGCATAGAAATAAGAGACAGGCAGTCAGAGAGGTTGGACAACTGAGCCTGAAGTGTCACATATGTCAACGGAAGAGATGTCAAGAAAGACAGTGTGATCAGCGTCCTCACATACTGCAAAAAGGTCAAAAAGGACGAGAACTTAGAAAAAAGATCACTAGATGTGGAAAATGAGAAGTTACTGGTGACTCTTGGAAAGTGGAGTTCCAATAAAGCGATAAGAGGAGAAGCCAAACTGCAAAAGGTCAGGATGTAGATGCAGCAAATACAGTTAATCTTTCCAGAACATTAGCTGGAAGAGAGAAGCAAAGATATAAAGTGATATGACAGATTGGGGGGTAGCAAGATGAGAAAGGTTGGCTATTTTAATGTGGGGAAACGTATTTTGTTTATAAACTGCCGAAAAGACAGAAAGAGACAGAAAGAGACTAATGATAAAGAAAAGGAGCATAACTGATGAGACACAATCCAAGAAAAATTAGAATGGGTAGGACCAAGCATATACAAGTAAGGAAAATATTTCATGAATCAAAAAGTAAGGACAAATGAAGACAAACACTTTCTGGGGTACAGGAACTTAATGCTGAAAGGGCTCCTCATCTTAGTAAATCAGGGATGAAAAGTATATTTCCTTTTCAAATTGAATTTTGAGTAAAATTCTGAACTTATACTAAGTTATGAGAAATACCAAGTTACCATCCAAAGTGAAAAAAGAATACAATTCAAAACCCAGGTTATTAAAACAAGCAAGCAAACAAAACTTTAGTGATCATTTCAGTGATACCTGGGAGTGGCAATCAAAGGTCCTAGCACCCCAAACAAATAAGCAAGTTGGTAGGTATTCAGTTTTTAAAATGTGTACATTTAAGTGTGCTAATTTTACATCTACGGAAAGACCAATCTTATGGTTGATTCACCTAATAAATGGTTGATTCATTTAATAACTGAAATTATGTCTTTTAAAATCTACATGAAAATACAGTAGTTAATTCCTAAATAATTTAAGCTAAAATAGGAGCAGACATGTTCACAATCTCTTGTGGCAAAGTATCCTATCCCCTGGGGTTCTCCTGATAACTGGGTTCCAAAGGCAACATGCTGGTTATCTAAGAATTACCTGTGCAGCTCTCTAAAAATACATATTTGCACATTCCCCCCCCTTAAAAAACACATAATACAAAAATTTAAAAACACATATTCATGACGCCACCACAGAAAGTCTCAGTAATGTGGGTTACACAGTTTCATTAGGTGATTCTCACACACAAATCTGAACTCTAGGAGGACAAGAGGAGACCTACAGACCCCAAAGGTATAGAGGTTAGTCAACGGAGTCACATCATATACAGGAAATGAAGGGCTGACCTTAGAACTGAAAACCTCACCCACTCCTACCTCCAACTGACCCACAGATACAGCCAATTTGCAAGAACATGTAAGTCACGGCTGGACAGTGGAAAGTTCCAACCCAGAAAGACAGGAAGCAGGTAGCCCATTTTTTCTCTATAACTATCCAAAGAACAATGACCAGAAACATTTAGATTTCGATCCATCACATCCCTGAGCAAGGTGCTTCCATATATAATGTCTAGTTCAATCCTTACAAGACCAAACGAATCTATTAACATGTCTGAAGATTATAAAGGCTAGGTCTTAATGGAGAATGGAGTAAATTCTGCAGGCTAGCAGCCACTCTTTAGATGATCCACTTTTCCATTGATTGATTAGAGAGTTGCCATAAAGAAAGAATGGGCTGTGTCCAGACAGTACCCCATTTGTTCTTTCCTTTATTCTAGCCCAGTGGTTCTCAGACTCTGTTGTGCATAAGAATTATTGTTTAGAGCTATATACACAAAACTACACACATTGCACTTTATGGGTGATTTAAAGGGTTTACTAGGATGACTTAACCTTGCGGGATTTTTGTTTGTTTGTTTTACACCCTGGCTTTTAGAACCTAACTAACCCAGTATAAGATTTAATGCCACTACATGCCCTTGCCAGGTGAGCCAACATATCATTGCTCATGCTTTCCAGGTCTTAGGTAAGGGCAGTCTAGTTGGCTTTTACAGGATTCAAAATACAAGTCAGCTTGGTGCCTCAATGGTTATAAAGTAGATGCAGGGTAAAATAGTTTCAACACATTCCACAGATATCGCTATATTCTAAGTGCAATAGTCTAAGTCTAATGTGCTTTGAGCACATTCATTTTTTAAAAGTGTATAATGGTCCATCTGAAGTTCTACTCTGACCACTGAAGATCACTGTCCAATCAATCTAAATAAAAAGACAACTTTTTATGGCTCTACTCATCAGACAATGTCACTAAAGGCAAGACACAATGCCATGGATGATGTGTCTGCTTAAACATTCAAGTCTCACACCTTGAGAGAGAAATCTCAATAACGTGAAAATAACTCTGTTTTTAATGGTGTGCCCAAGATCATAGATCTAACTTCTTACATAAAAAATTTACTGTACGTGCCGGCCGAGTGGCGCGATGGTTAAGAACTGGCTTGGGACGCCAGAGGGCCCCGGTTCGGATCCCACATATGAGGGCCAGTGACACTGCTCTCCACAGCTAAGATGCTGAACAACAGCTCAACCTGGAGCCGGGCTGTTGTGAGTCGCTGGCAACTGCGTAGGCTGCAGCCCCTGTGGCAGTAGGTTGCCATGGGTACCGTATGTAGCCAGCAGCCAGCGTGAGCGGCCGTCCAGAAGCCGGTGACTGATGTGCCTCGCCAGGGAAGAGCGCAATGATGGTGCCAACTTGGGCCAGTGAAGCAACATCCTCCACAACTAGACTGAAGAACAAAACGACAGCAACTTGTCTGTTCCCCTTCCCCCAATTCCCCAGCACTGTTCCCATCCCCCCAATTCCCCAATAAAATCTTTAAAAAAAAACAAATTACTGTAATCTGGACATGGACAAATGCAGAATGAAAAAAGCTAGTACTTTCAAGTTTGATTTCATTAGAAAAAGACCAAAATTTTTTTTTTTTGGTCTGTGAGAACAAATTTCCTTGTTAGGATGGGAAATCATGACTTAACTTTTAAAATATTCTATACATAACTTTTCAAAATTAATTCTAATGTGTAAAAAAAGTCAACCTGTATAGACTGGATCTTGGACTCTTTCCAAAGACAATGGACCATCCTCAGAAATCCTGAAAGGAACTCCATTGTGCTCACTGCTTTTATGATAATCTATGCTACAATTGTACCTGGATGTGAGTTTTGCTCTAATTCATAAACATAAAAGGAAAGAACAACATGTATACTGCATTTACATAGCCCAAACTAAGAAGATGTTCACACAATTAGCTAGCCTATCAAAGCATACAATTTATTCAAGTCCTCAATGCTCCCTCTCATAAATCATCAAAGCCAGGATTAATCCAAAGGTGGCTGGCATGCCCTTCAATTCCCTAGAAACCATACAATACTTCAAGTTTGTCTTAAAATTCTATGATTCATTCTGAGTCTTGTAGCAGCATGACTACGTTTCTCCCAGCCTGGGGCAAGCACTCCCTAAAGAGACATTCCTCTTACCCAAACCTGAATAATTTCCTGACTGGGGGAGGAGGAGTATGCTTGCTACTTAATAAAAGCAATTGAAGAGCTGTGAATAGTGACTGATTGCTGATGAGCTAATCAGAATATTAAGGGATAAAAATAATA